GTGCTGAGTCTGTGTAATCCTGCTTAAGATAACACTGAAATTATTTCAGAGTCTCTCCATCAAGAATCCAGCCAATTTGCTCTCACAAAAGTCAGAGCTGACCAAGCTGATGGAGGTCTCAGCATTTCATTTGACCCTACAAATGTAGAGCTGAAAGGAGGTGCCTCCTTGTCCAAAGAGATTTCCATTACACCACAGAAGAAGAGTGTATCACTGGAATCGCTGGAGGCACTGAGAAGAGAAAGGTAAGGAATGACAAAGGGAGCACACACACTTCAGTCATCCCCCTCCAGCACACACCAGGTTAACAATGGGTTTTCAACAGCCAAAAATCAAGATTAAAACCTTAGGGCATGAACTTCCTCTAACTAGGCCAGGTTGGACAGAGAATGGAGTGACAAGTTCTCCTATGAGCCTCCTCTCATACAGGTTTATCCCCCCCCCAGGTGCCTCAGCTCTGGTGCTCAGACCCTTCCTATCCTTTTCCTCTTTTAGAGAAATCAACATGGATCATTCCTTCATCCGACAACTCCGGAGAACAAACATCCACCTGTACGTGGTCACTGAAATCCTCGAAGCCTCAGAGGAGGCCGTCTACAAGGAATCCACCAAGGCAGATAGGGGCTTCAAGGCCAAATTTTATGCCACACTCTGTGCACAGGTTTGACTTCTCCCTCCTTGCTTCCCCAACACCTGCACCCAGGTGTTTTAACAGGTTGTTTTCTTTATCCAGAGCAACAGGGAGGACAAACAAAGCATAGTGATACCCAAGGGCTGCACACTGGCCTTCAGGACCATCCCACTACATATTAGAGATGGAGCATGGGGTAAGCAACTTCCTGAAATGACCAAGTTCTCCATTCCAGAAGAGGAAGAACATTTTATGAAGCACCTCTTGCCCCCAGAGCTACCTTCAGCTTGTCTGGAAATAGGAGGAAGCAGTGTGAGAGACAGAAACCACCTGCGGGAGGTCAGATAACCCATGCAAGGTCAAAGGTGGTGTTTGGGGAGGGGTCAGTAAAGAAAGGAAAAAAGGAAGCCTCAGATCCCCATCTCAGGATCTGCAGAGCTCCTGGTGATAAATGGCACAAAGAGCAGAGTTTTGGTGTTTCTTTTCCTTTGCTACTCAGAAGAGAAGAGACAGGGAGGAAACTGAGTGGGGGACCACCACTGAGAAGGCTGGTATAGAAAACTGTCACTTTTATCCTCTTTTAGATCTGGATTATTTCCCAGCAGAAAGTGTGAGAAAGATGGCTTATGTAGCTGATGGTAAGTATTGCATTTTACTGCTTCCACTTGCACAACTTTTGGGTAAGATGGTATCTCCCAGCATAAAACAAACCACTAGGATAGATGCATTTGCCTCTCCCCTGAGACATCACAACTGCCCAATTCCATATTGCTTCAAAGGAGGGTTTCAAACCCCGGGTTTAGAGCTGCCTGTGAACTCCTAGAACTCAAGTGACAGATTTCAACTCCTCCTGGTTTGCAGGTCCCTCAACAGGAAAATTAGGAGAAGTGATGACAGAAGTTCAATATTCCTGCCGAATTTTCCCCGAGTTGTCTCCTGACCTGCTGCTCATCATCTTAAACACCATCAAAGCTGTGATGAGAGACAAGAACCTCCTTCAAGAGCTCAGACAGAAAGTAAGTGAAGCTTTTCTTACTGCCACA